TAATAATCAACTCATAAGTTATTAATACAAATATAAGTTAAGAGACGTTACTTAAATCCGCTGGCTGGTGCATGTTCTGTTGAGTTTGGTACCAGAATCCACAATTATATATAATTAATAATCCCAATGAGGTTGATATGGCTCCAGTAAATTAGTCAAACGTAGAATACAATGGGAATGTTACAACGGTCTATAAGTATTGACGATAGTGAATTAATAGTTCTGTTATCATATCCACAAGCATGATAGAACGAGAGGCGTGTGTATAAGAGTTTATTTATTTATAAGCAGTTAACAATGTCGTGCTATGTGGAATTCAAAAAGGAAGGAAGGAAGTGCTCAAGGTCATACACTCAAACAACAAGTACAGTCGTTTAGTGATAAATGTACAGATTGTGAAAATCAACAAAATAAATGCAAAAGCTATCAAAAACTATTTACAAAATATGTTTATTAAACCTATCTCCACATTCTACATGACTCTAAATTATATGCACTATTCTGAGATAAAATACGATCATCATGTTCCCTCAAGGTCACAGGTACACCCTGCTAAAGAGTGTCAAATATGACGAAACCTAGGGTTATTGTACCCTGTTGACTACTTTCAACCACCATCTTATTTTAACATAGCGCACGCGATGTCGAGTCACCTAGTTTAGTTGCTACATTGCAATTTGGTCGATAGAATTCCATTTGCACTAAGAAGGACATGATACACATGACATTAATCATTGCCCGGTGATCAAGTAAGTGTAGATACTCAGTGTATACTTGACCCAGGTTGTATGTTTATCAATGATGGCACTTAAATTACATAACGTAGGTTGAGCGAAATAATAATGTAGTTGTCGATCACAACAGATGTTAGATAAAAAGTCAATTGGTGCATGAAATGACAAAATATTCAAGACAATGGAGGTTAGACTGCTCAAATGCACAAATTTTGATAAAATATAAGCAGTGGAAATGTAAATGGCCACTTCAGAAAAAGACGCGTAACTTATATATATATATATATATATATGACGCAAATGAAATATTAGTTTGAAAATGTTTGTACGTTAAGTGAAGTTATGAGATTCAAATTCAGAATATAAGTAGAAGATTAACAAATATTACTCAAGAAGCACTCACAAACAGTCACCAGAAAGCCATAAACGTGCTCCTGAATGATGAAAATTTATTGATCACGAACCCTAATAAAAGATCAGGGATCCCTCTTCTCAGCAAAGCTGACCGAATAGGCAAAATGAGTGACATGATGGACAGCAAATTAAAATTTCAAAAACTGACTTAAAATATTTAAAGGATTCTAAATTCATATGTTATAATTATAAACGATTTAAATGCCTTAAAATTAATCGAGAAATTTCATTTATATAAGAGATATATGGATGATACCTTCATTATTTGTGATGATAACATGGACCACAATGAAATATTAAATATTTTCAATAACTGTCACCCTTCAATTCAATTTACCTTAGAGGCAGAATCGAACCACGAATTCCATTTTCTTGATGTCCATTTGAAAAGATTGCCTGATGGTTATTTACAAAGATCTATGTATAGAAAACCCACTTGGAATGGACAATACACGAATTTCCATAGTTGGGTTCCATTGAGTCGAAAGAGGAACTTAATTCACTCTTTATCATCTAGGATTAAGCGAATCTGTTCTAGTGACACAATAAATGAAGAATTACTTCATCTTCGACAGACCCTCATCAAAAATGGTTATCCACCGAGGTTCGTTGATAGCAACTTAACATCTAGACGTCAGCAACAAATAAATTTGACGGTGCAGAAGAAAACCTTGTTTATGAATATGGAATTCAAGGGAGACACGGCTGCTGAAATCCTGAATAAACGGATTTCAAAAACGTTGAATAAAACTTTCTACACAACCAAGCTCCGAATCGTTTTCTCTAGCCGGCCTACCATTCGGGGGTGTGTTAAGGATAAGCTTTCGCTTTGGGCCACATCGATGTGTATTTATAAATTTACTTGCTCATGTGGAGCACGTTATATAGGCCGCACAAAGCGATCGCTTTCCAAACGTATCTCTGAACACTATCCAGCTTGGCTCCTAAAAGGTGAATGTAAGAAGATAACCAGTTCGATACAAGAGCACTTGATCAATTGCGGACACATTGCTCCAAAAGAGACGTCTTTTAAAATAATCTATAGAGTTAAAGGAACCGGATCAAAGGGAGGTCGAATCAATATTTTATGCACTGCTGAGGCATTGGCAATCCATGAATTCAAGCCTGAACTTTGCGTGCAGAAACGATTTGTCCAACCTCTTACCCTTCCTTGGCCCTAATTCCCTCATTGGGTACGTTTTTTGGTTTTTGTACTTTTATCTGATTATTATCGGTTATTATTATTATTACCTTATACAAGTTTTCTTGATTATTACTCAGATTATTATTATTATGACCTTGTGTTTGTCGCTCTTCTTCATATCTGTTAATTGAACTATTATCTGACCCATAAATTATTTTCTTCCTTACCCCTTGATTAGTACGTCACCTCATTTGTTATTTATTGTCGAATCCATTTATAATGCAATCTTTTCTAGCCTCCTATAGACATATATTTTCCATATTACTATATATACGAATGTACAGCTTAAGTAAATGATTTCGTCGAAAAGAAAATTTTCTTCGCTGAATTCTCTTTTTCTTATTAAAATTAATCATTATTGTGGATTGTAAATTAGAAAGTGCAGCGAGTTCACTTAAGGATTATTTTGTGTCAGCATACATAGATTTGTTAGTGGGACATGCAAATTACTATAAATTTTCTAGTACAAGTTCACTTATAGATTATTTGGCGTTGATAAGACTCAAGTTTTCCATATTAATTGATTAAGTCACACCTCAAACTCTACATCCACTTTAATCAACCCTAACAATAACTGAGTTGGACAACATTTGAATTGTTTGACTGTTAAAATTCAGGAATATATCGTTATTAAAAAAAAGAAGCTAGATGCAAACATAGGCTGTTTGTGTTTACAAGCAAGAATAATTCTGTTGATAACTTAGGCCATCATTAAATTATACGTAGACTGTATTAACTTGTGCCAGTCAGATCAAGTGTTAAAGAAATTGGCGTGATTGGTAATTTAATTAGTATATCTGATTCTGTCAAATTACCTGATAACTGGCCGTTATAATTAATGACATTATTTTAAGTTTGTATATAAATAGATTTTGAATGTCGACATATGTTATAATCAAAAAATGTCATCAGCATTGCGTTTTCTGGTTTTATTTGTCACTGTTTATGAATGTGAGTTTACAGAGTAAACATTTTTACTGTAGAATGAATAACATGACTAGTTTTGGTGAAATTTTGACTAATGTAGATCAATTTGATTAAGCGTAATTACGATTCTACGGGTAAACACTAAAAATAAGAATTATCTTACTCAGTTAAAATCCTACTTTCGAAATAAGATTATTGAGGTGGGGAAAATGGTGATGTTTGACTGATCAGTTGTTTGAAAGAACTTCTTCCAGCTGCAATGGTTTTCTATCATATGTTACCTAACACTATGACTAAATTCCATTCTTCGTTGGTTGAAACTCAATCATTGAAGAATATATTTCGGTTGGATTTTAGCATGTACACGGTCCATGCAATTTTCCCACTGCAACCCATCTTGATTTGTGATCTTAGGTATCCGATAATTGATCACGAATATTACACAGAAAATATTCAGGCATATACACCTGTCACCATGGTACATGCAAAAATTCAAAGACCCTATGAACTGATTCTACATCTTCGTTTGGTCATCCTTAACCTCCTTCCAATTTCATCCTTCACTAGTCACCAGTGGACATGAACGCCGTCGATAATGAGCTTGTGTAGCACATATTTCAGTTATACCAGTTGTGGAATTCGTATAGACTCACCAACGTAAATATGAAATAAACATTCTTGTGAATATAACTCGTTTGTTCAAAACTTTCGCAATAATGAATTATTTTATTTTACATCACAGTCAAATGCTTCTGTCGTTACATAAATTTACATAGTAAACAGATAACTGATGGAGAAATAATCCTTCAATGGACGAATCAGAGATTTTACTCGCGATCATCGTTTTTCATAAGTCAGAAGATTAATGAGGACGAAACATATTATCCCTTGAAACCTAAAGAACATACTCTCACTGTTAATGCTACTGACAAATGCCTCACTCATGAATTCAATTACATTGTTCAAGATGATTACCATGCACTATCCTACAGTCATTATAATTTAGATTATAGTAAGTGATGATGTTTTCTACTATTCATAAAATCGGGATCTATTTTGCGTAACAGTACTGACAGTTATTATTTGATAAACCTTTTAATATGACTCGAATAATCGCACGGTTCGTATACTGGGACATATTATAAATAACATAACTGTTACGCTGTGAGATATCTGTAAAATACTTTAAACTATATGTCACCCAGTCCTGAAGTAAAAAGATTGATTACTTTGCATTGAATTATTCACACAAACTAAAGATTACAAAATCATTATATAAATGACACACCACATAAGAAAGAGACACAAGGTTGTGACTTTCATCCTGAACAATGTTCTAGTGCACAATGCTTGACAATTTCGAAGAAAGGAAACGTTTTTAAATTCTGTTCCCCAGTTGGTCTGAAACGTTTGACTATTCACGAAATGAAGTATAACCAGTTATAAATACTATGTTCCTTGAAAAATGAAACTCTATGAAACACTAAGATTAATCGGAGAATAGACCTCACAATTGAATATTGCTGAAGGTACTGTTTAGATTTGCTCAAAGGTGACTGTCGGTTGTCATAAGTGGAAGCTTCAATTCCAAAAACGACCATCTTAAGAATATGTAATAACACAATAATCTTTTGTTTGTCTCACTCTCTCTACCCAAAGTTCCTCAGATGTTCGAAAGTATACGATATCGTGTAGTCTCACCAACAAGCACCGAACTAAAGTGGGATATGAAAAGCAACAATTGCAATAAAACGTTGAACACCATCATCTTTCGACTCAGAAAAACTGGGAACTTGGAAATGTTGTTGTTGGAAAGAGCAAGTTCAACTCGAATGGCGATCAGCAAAGAAAATAAATCCGAATTCATCTTGTCAACATATGATCCACAATTACCAGAATCAGCTAAACATAAACTAGGCTACTTCGGAATACCCACTCTTGTCAAAATCAAATCACCGAGTAAGTTGATTTATGTTCATTTCACCAATCTATTGAAATGTACATGTTTATGACATCTAGTTGAATGGAAAGTATGTTATTTTCAAATATTTGTTATATTCTGAATACGATCAAGTTTCAATGTCTTTGTAACCACATATATGTCTCAAAACGATTTGAGTTTAGCTGTGCTCGCGAATAGCGTAGCAACGTAACTAGCACCAAATGATCATGAGTGTGACTGATTTTTCTCTTAGCTATGGTCTTCCAGAGTTAAAATTCAGTAATTTTCAATATTTTTGATCCTTGGTTGAATCGATGTATTTCTCCACACAGACAAGACATATCTTAACACTCATGGAATTTTGAATTTCAGCAAATGTGTAATTAGACTTGTCCTTCGATATATCCAGAAATAAAGCTCTCAGCCATAAGTGTCCTTTTTCAGATATAACACTAGTAAAATCGATAACAGAAATCACTTGAATTCAAATTCGTCTTCCATTTTATAAATCACAACGACGTTCTGTTAATAGAACGGGACACTATATGACACTTGATGTTCACATTCTTCAATCACTTATCGTTTCACAGAACATTCTAGGTCCAAGTAATTCATCACAACTTGAATTATGTTTATGCATTTGAACAACGGTTTTTACAATTTCCGTTTACAATATCGGATAACGTAGAGTAGTTTCAGTCATAACCATAAATTAGGTTACACCGTATTTGTGTAAAATACATTTGTAATATATGCTACTTGTTCTGACAGATATAAGTAGTAGGTGGCCGCAATCGAAAGTGCAATATCTGGCAAAAGTTGAACGAATTAGGGAGAACAGGAAGTAAATCGTAGAGACATTAAAATAACAACAGAATTGGAGGAATAATCGAGTAGGTAAAGAATAAGGAGAAGAAGATGTACGAATGATGTATTCAGAGTATGGTTTTCCTATTTAACCAATGCACTGTGCACTTTTACGTAAGCACATTTACTAATATCAGATGAAATAGATATCTACTGCAATCTTGTCAATACAGAAATAGGCTAGTAATTTTCAAATTCACTAGACAACATGTTAGTTATCCTACAAGATGCTTATTTGAAATTGTTGTGATATTTTTCATGCAACGTCTCTTCATTTTTCGTATGACGCTAATTGTACTTCACGTGATCATAATTTTATTTGCATTCGTATCTAAATCAACTCGTTTAACGTTTTACTCAAAGCCAAACAGATATTTTACGATATAAAATTCAGGAAGAAAGGATCACAACATGTTATGATTAAATGGAAAACTGTCAAAATAACTGATAAGACAGCACATAGTGTCATAATATTTCATGGTTTAGTCGATCAACCACTGCAAACAGAAATTCAACCAAAATCTTCCAAACGTTCCATAACAATACCTGTTCAATTGAAAAAAAAGTACAGAGTGATTGTTGCTCAATATTCTGATGGTAAACCTGATTGGCCAATTGTTATCGACTTTCGAACTCCATGTAAATCACCACATTCATTCGTTAATATTCATGTGAATTTTATGGTGTGACTTTTGTCTGAATATTATTATTTTCGAGTATTTTCTAGACGTACTTGTGAAGAAAGATGAAGTAATGTATGAAGTCAAACACCGTGACCTCCAGACCAATGAAGTGTCTTTATAGCACCAGTGGATCATAAAGATTTGACAGCTAAAACACCTCCACAATAATCTGTATGATTATGCTACTTATCAGGCACTGAATGATTTAAATTTTTGAAGATCATAAATAGCACGCGTTTATTTTCGAAACATTGAGCGATAATGACTTTCTGTTTAAAGTTTGAAAATGTCATTAGGTAGAAGCCCTAAATCTCCTCCCACTGCCATTAACTCACTTTTCCAAACATATTTTTACACGATTTAGGTAAGGAATGCCGAATTCATGCTAAACATCTCATTAGAATCAGACGTCGTAGGTGGAGATCAGAACATGACAATAATCAAATACAACTACATCTCAATTAAATCATTCGCACTTGTGGGAATGCAGCACAGCGAATGTTTGCTCATTATTCGATGTGAAAACACTTGATCTATTGCAAGCTTACACTGTTTTTGTTCATCCATTTTGTGAAGTTGTAATAAATAAAGGAGAGGTTTATGAAATATTTGTATTTTAAAGATAGATAATGAATCATTAAACGATAGAGACAAGATGAGATATGTAACACCAATGATAAACAAGCGACGTAAGAGAAGTGAGTGGAAAGTGTAATTAGTTTCCGATAACATGTCTCAACATACAGTTGTCATATTTGAATGCATGATTGCTGATGCATAAGCTTTTTATAAGATTTTGAAATACTTGGAGTTTGCATAAATGCTATCTTCCAATGTAGTTTGTTTCGTCAGGATATTGTCAGTGCATGTATTATCCTGAAGTCATCAATTTGACAATTAGTAAGCAAGTGGCCGAATTCTCATCTCTGCCATTTCGAGTGGACCAAACTTTTGCATTTCCTACAGTACAGAAAATGGACATGGAAGGATCACACGAATTCATCCTCTTTTATATCTGATTTGGATGAACTATCGTCCAGTTGTGATGTTGTTGATTTGCATCGAAGTATTCCCTTCGATCTGAATTCTTTTAAAACAAAGCCTGTAAGAAGTATAGGTCCACAAAAACGGTTGATAACCATAAATTTCAACAATTGCACAAACCCCTACTAACTGTTTTTACTATCTTTCCTTTTCTTGATATTGAACAAGAGTACGTGATCGCTTGTCAGTATGTTTGCATATTGACAAGAAAACGAACATGTCAAGTTGAATTTAAAAAAACACAAAGGTTGGTATAAAATTAAGTGAGAATCCAGTGTATTCAGCATAATTGGCTTGCACTGAAAGTGACTGAGTTTTAAGTTGAATGAAATGTAATGGATTCTATGTGAAATTTTTGAGTGTCAAGTGTAGGTTTATGTGTAAGAAGTGACCTGATTATTATGTCGATGAAAATGATCCACCCACCTTTGAATGTTAGCCAAATTTGTATTTATCACCCAACTTAGCTCAGTTTAATCAATACAAATAATTATGTAGATTGTTTTATTCATACTTACTGACGCTTGTTACTCTTCGTGAAAGAGCAGAGACAACCCTCGATGATTCTCTATGGAATTACTATTACCTTGAAGTACGCTGTTACAAATCACTTGTTAGGATAATGAGTGATTTGTCATATGAAAACAAACAATGTGTTAAGTGATAGGGAATCCAACAATCGTTTAATGTGAACACTATTGAAAATACTTCCAATTAGGTTTTAATTGATGAGTTGAGTTTTAGACAGAAAAAGCTTAAACGAGAACAAGTTAAGCTCCGAGAGTTAAACTGACAGACGTTGTGTGATTTAATTTTTCGAATGACGTTAGTTTTCTCTATGAGTATTATCTTGATTACAAACCAAATAGTCACATTCAACAAAGTGAACACCTGTACGTTTCTTACTGATGATACATGTCTATGAAATAACTTAAAGCGTTTCGTCGAATGTGAATTGTATCTCAATTTACAATGGTCGTTATGCTTGTGTGGTGATTTAGGAATATGACTAATAATTAGCTTACGAAAACTGTGCGATTTTTTCAATTGAGAAATGTAGCTTATTCAACCCAATGGATGCTCTAAGGACAACTTAAACAGAGAATTATTTCCGCTGATTTTCCCATAGTTGTAAGACATAGAATGGAATAACTGCATTTGTCACGGCTTCTTTTCCGCGGAGTTAATACTTGTTGAGTACGAGGCAGATAGTTACCCACCTAAGACAACGGAATATGGTCGCCCAATATCGTGTATTGATACGAGCTAGACATTAGCTCAGTAGTCTAGATGTAGAGCGTTGGCGCGTGATACTGTATGTCTTGAATTCGATTCTCATATGTGGGATCGTGGATGCGCACTGCTGAGGAGCCTTGTGCTAGAACGATATAGTCGCCCATTGCATCCAGCTTTTCAATATTGGTTTAACTCAGATTGGTTCATAGTTTCATTGAAATTTATCAATCTGCACAACCCCAAAATGACCTAAATATCATTTCTTTTTTTAACCGTCTACCAAAATCTTGAGTCATGCACAGTAATGCAGTAACACAAACGATGCTGAGGAATCACAACAATCAATTTTTGGGTTTCCAAATAAGCAAAGTATTACTTGACGGAAGGTATCATTTTTTAAGAGACAAAACTTAAAATGAGATGATAAATAGAATGATTTGGTTATGTTAAAATATTTAAAATGAATAGAATGTTACTAATAGAGTCATCTAGATCTTACATATATGGTAAGTAGAACAAATCCAAAACAATAGTAGTGTCTTCTTTTATATTTGGCTCTATAAATCTCTACATTCAACGTGTAAGCGACATAACTCTAATTCAAGATCATTAATAAAATAATTAATCCAACATTTTTTTATCCCTTAAACTCTGTTCTTCTTAATTAAAATTAAAATACTGATCAGAAATATTCATTGCAATTTTAACTCATTAGCTAATAAAGTTATTGTACTACCGCCAAATAATTGAAAAGTCTGGAAATCGCACGATGGAACTATTTGCAAAGACCCAAAAATGACCTAAAACTGTATATAATTCTGATAGAATATTTATCATATCCTACATTATAATATACTTAAAATTCTTAATGGCTGATTATTTAAATTGAATGATAACTGTGACATTAATATATTCCAATTTTTGTGGGAAATTATTATTTTAAACAAAGTATAGTACTGAATGAGTACTACTACGCTCGAACGAGTACTACAAAATGAGATCCTTTATAAACTTCATTCAATGATAAATTTAAATATATTTTTAAAAAATTTGCTTCAATTTTAAGTTTGATATAAAAATGACGGAATGAGATTCAAAATCATGTTTATAAAGATATTGCAAAGACAGCGAATTGAATAATAAAACAAAGATTGAATTCATGTTATTCTTCATCTGTTTTGGAAAGTTTCCACAACATATTATCATGAATGCCAACTACAAGTAAATGGAAATCTGATATTTATTTTAACTAGACAATAATCACAGTGAAAATTAATTTACATTATGCATGATAATATGCAATAGTTTAGTATAAGTGTATGAGTTAGACGACTCTCTGTGTTCGACCATCGTTGTCTCCGAAGGATTGCTGACATCCAGTGGCAACACCATGTTAGTAATGCAGAGGTCCGGCATCGTGTGTTCGGGCGCAGAGACGATAATTCAATTGGTGTCACCATCTTGAAACACCGACTTCGGTGGCTTGGACATGTTCTACGAATGTCGTCCCAGAGACTTCCACGTCGTGCATTATTTGCCAACTCTGGGACTGGTTGGAAAAAGCGGTGAGGTGGTCAGTGTATGACATGGTGTCGTGGCATGAAAGGAAGCTGCAAAGGGCTAGCTTCTGTTGGTCCTTCACGACTCCCTGGCTGGGGTCCGAGAGATGGTGCAACACAGTGGCTAGAGACGTTATCAGATATGGCTCAGAATAGAAGTCAGTGGCGAGCCTGCTATAACCTTCTTTTACTTTCTTCATAAAGAGTGGTCCTAACTTTCTTAGCTGAAAGAGTTTTCTGGTTGTACATTTCAGTCCTCCTTATCTTTTCATCCCTTCTCTTCCTACTTTCATTATTTTGTATGGCGCATATGTATCTGGTGCCCTTTTGTACCAATATGTATGTGTTTAAATAAATAAATAAATAAATAAAAGTGTATGAAGTTTTTAGTCGGTATAGACGAATTTGTTTCGAATATACGGAAGTAAATTTTACCTGTAAATACGTGGTTATTAAATCAGATGAAATGAAGCATTTGTGAGTTTGATTATCACAAAGTATGTTCCCTACTTGAATTTTGAGACCTAATCAACTTTTCATTTATTTGTTCATGCCGAAATCGGAATTTAATAAGAGTTTGTCAATTTATTTATTCCATACTTATGGTAGCCTAACTCTCTACAATAGCGAATAAAGTATTTTTTTGTTGCCAAGCGAATAGAACTTTTAATTTACCATGTATGAAAAGCTAAAACTAGGTCTGTTGATGTACGTAGTGTAATAATATATAATCACCAAGAAAAACGTGACTTGAGAATGTCTTGTCATATTACAGTAAAGGTTACATCGAAGTCGCTTATTATCTATACTTGAAAATCGAGGAACCACTGCAATGCTATAGACGCGAAGTGATAACATGTAAGACTGGTACAAGCAAAAATTTATTAACCCCAAAACACGACGACCCTAGTTGAAAAAATTATATATACATATATATTGACTGATTGACTGATTGATTGTTCACGTTAATTTTATACAAGAATATCGTATCTTGAATAAACATCACACTAAAACAGATCAACGTTATATTAAGTAAAATATCAAACTGGAACACCAAACAAATATTACACTGAGTAATTGTCGGCACATTCGAAAAGACATGCCACTGGTTCTCGCTCACATGTTACATGTTGTCGAGGATTTGTGATGTCGTTATTTATCAGCTATTCACAGCACCTTTTTTCGTCACACGTCAATTTTCGTAATCTTTGTGCTTGTTGCATAGCGTTTATTTTAGTTTATTAGCAGCTTCACGTATTTGTTGCTCACTACCTGGGTGAATGTTAAGCAATCCTAATTTGGTTATTTCTAACAAACTCGGAGCATCTTTGACTGTCAAGTTGTTTTCAATACAATGCTTTGTGGACCCTGACAAATTTTAAACAAGGACATTAAAGTTCACAAGGGTAATTGATATCCTAGGTCTAGTTACGAAGCAACAAAAGAGCCACACTCACTGAGCTATTGATTTCGGGGAATTATTTACAGCTACAAACTCTGGACTGCTATGTGACTCTATAGCGTTTCTAGAAGTCTTAGATAAAGATAAGTGATCATTAGAAACATCCGCCTTAGCATTACTTTTAGCGAAATGTACCATGGTATAACAAACTTACTGAATGTGTCCAGTTTTACCACATTTAAAGCATTCAGATTGACGAAATACACATGAATTACATGGGTAAAACGTGCCACAGAACAATCATTTACCAATCTTGTGCTCATCTTCGTGACCTGATTCGCAACTTCTCAATGAATTGTTATCTGAATAACCTTGATTAAGTATAAGACTGCGACGACGCAGTAAAGTGGTGGGATTTCTGATGTTCTAGCGAGTTATTTAATCGAATTTTTCTTCTTTACCACATTAGACATTTGTATACTTT